ATTTTGGGTGTTCACTAATCTGGTATCCTGGTGAACCAATACCCACTTCCTTTTCTTCTAGTCACTATGAAAATTATTTCCCATTGCTACCTTTCACTCTACTCATCTCTACTTTAATCTTAGATTCTTGTTCATATTTTATGGAAAAAAATGAGGCCATTTTTCACAAGCCACCTCTTCGCATCTCTTCCCTGTCTTCTGTTGCTCACATGCCTTCTGCCATTTTCTTCTTCACCTGTCTCACATAATGAAGTGACCTTACTCCTTACTGAAGTGATCCCATTTCATCTCATCTCCTCTAGTAGATTGCCTCCTTTGTCATCCCCTCTCTGTCACTTTTTCAAACTCTCCTTACTCCAAGCAAACAATGCTCATGTCTCTTCTTTCTTGGAAAAACCCTCTCTTGACCCTTTCATCCTTGTTAACTGTCATCCTATATCTCTTCGGCATCTTGTAGTTAAACTTTGGGTGATTCTCCTTTCTTTTCTCTCACTGTCTTCTTAATCCCTTACAGTTTGGTTTCCAGCCTTATCATTCTGCTCACACTTGACTATCCAAAGTTCCCAGTGATCTCTTAGTTGCTAAGTCCAGTTGCCTTTCCTCAGTCCTCATTCTCTGTGACCACTCTGCAGGTTTTGGCACTGTTGATTACCCTTTGTCAACACGACTTTCTCTCTAGGTTTTCAGTACACAACTCTTTCCTGGTTTTCCTTCTGCTTATCTGACTATTCCTTCACTGTTTTCTTTTCAGGATATTCTATGTCATGCTTTCTAATAATAGGTGTCCCTCAGGGTTCATTCCTGAGCCTTCTTCTCTTCTCCCTCTATCTTCACTTGTTGTTCTCAGCGGCTCCCCTCTCATAATTATGATGATCTCTCTTCATCATAATTACCATCTCTATGCTGATGATTTTCAAATCTTATCTATTCTGCTCCAGCCTCTTTGCTGATCTTTAGTCTTGCATCTCCAGCTGCCATTCAGACATCTAAGGTTGGATGTCTAGTAGACATTTTAAACAAAACATGTCCAAAACACTTGTTATCTTTCCCCTAATCTCCCTTGACCCCTCTTCTTACTTACTGTAGAAAGCAGCACCAGCTTCTCAGTCCCTCAGGTGTGTAGCCTTAGAATAATCCTGTGTTCCTCTCTTTCATCACCCCCATCCAATCTGTTGTCAAGGCCTGTATATTTTACTATTGCAATATCTCTCCAATATGCCCCCTTCTCTCCTCTGATACTGCTTCGGTAATAGTGCAAGGCCTCATCCAAACTCAAACCAGATCTGTTGTAAGAGCCTTCTGGAGGGTGTGCCTGTCTCAAGTCTTTCACCTCTCCAAATCATGCCCCTTTTAGCCACCAAAGTGATTTTCCTAAAGCACAGGTCCAAACATGACATCTCTCTACTCCATAAATTCCATTGACTTTCTTTCCCCTCTACAATCAAATATAAAATTCTCTGTTTGGCATTCACAACTCTTGCATAATCCTACCTCTCCAGTATTCTTACACCTTATTTTCTTTATTTTTTAATTTTTTATTAGCTTATTTTGATTTATCAACAATCATTTCCATAAGTTTTTGAGTTTTAAATTTTCCTCCCCCTCCTTTCTTCCCCTCCCTCCCCAAGAAGGCACACAATCTGATATAGGCTATACATATACATTTCTATTAAACATATTTTCACATTAGTGATGTTGTAAGGAAGAGTTAGAACCAATAGGAGAAACCACCAAAAAGAGGAAACAAAACAAAACAGAAAAAAAAATAGCAAATAGTATGCTTCGATCTGCATTCAAACCCCATAGTTCTTTCTTTGGATGTGGATAGCATTTTACACCTTATTTTCTGCCATGTACTTTTTAATCCAGAGACACTGACCTCCTGGCTGTCCCAAGAATAGGGACGCTGTATCTCTCACCTCTGGGCATTTTCTCTGTCTGGCCTCCTGACTGGAATGCACTCTCTCTGCTCTACATCCTGACTTCCTTGCCTTCCTTTAAGTCCCAACAAAAATCCCATCCTTTACAGGAGGTCTTTCCAAACCTCTCTTAATTCTAGTGCATTATTTCTGTTAATTATTTCCTATTTATCCTGTAAATAGCTTGCTTTGTATATATTTGTTTGCATGTTATATACTTCATTAGATTGAAATCTCCTTGAGGACCAGGACTGCCTTTTGCCTCCTTTTGTTTCCAGCTGTATCCCCTGCACTTAGCAATATTGCTAACACATAGTAGGCATTTTATAAATATAGATTGATTGATTGTTCCTTCACAGTATACATACTTTCATGTCATTCAATTCCATTGTATGCTCTGGAGCACTCACTGAATTGTTAATAAGTGTCATTCATCCTCGATTCCTTCATCTCATTCATTCCATCTTCTGGCACTAATGGATGTTCCTTCCTCCAGACTGCCTCTACCATTCCCCAGCAGCCTGTTCATTCTGAAAGATTATACATTCCTATACATGAAAGATTTGTGTATAGGAATAACCCTCTACCCCTATGGTCTCTTTCTCTGATTGCACGATTCATCTCAGAATGTATTTTAAAGAGGGGCACCATGGCCATCCATGTCTCATTAACTTTGCAGGCTTTACTCAGAACTTCTTCTACTTTTGCTCCTCTCTTTCAGCTCCCAGCTTCTCTTAGCTTTCTTTTATATATTTTCTTCCACCAATAGAATGTAAGTTCCTTGAGGGTAGTGACCATTATATTGCTTGTATTTGTATTTCCAGCACAAAAAGTAAGCTTTTAATAGATATTTGTTGACTGTCTACATCTGTAAAAGAAATCACACAACTCATAACTGGGTTCAGTATAGATTGGTGTAGTTAATCTCATCTGTCCGCTGTTATTAAGCAATCTTTTTATTCTTTAACTGGCTCTCTCTCATATTCCTCCCAGTAGCTATTTCAAACTTTGTTATCTCTTTTCGAGTCCCTTATGATGCTCCCCTTCTCTCTCACCCTCAACTATCTTGGCTGATCATGCTGCTACCTGTTTCACTGAGGAAATCAAAGGCCATGAACCATGAGCTTCTTCATGTCCTGTCTTCTATACCCCTCACAACCCTGGAAGATTCATTCATTGTCTCCTCCTTTTGTCTAGTATCAAAGTAAGGAATGTCTCTTTTTCTTGTCGTGGCTAACGTATTTGTCCCCCTAATATTTCCTCTATGACTCTGACCCAATGATAATGTCCTTCCTCTTTTGTTGCTGACCATTTTTATTGCTCACTTTCCTTCTGTATACAAACTTAGTTGCCTACAATCCTTAAAAATTCTTCACTTAACCCTATTATCCCCTCAAGGAATTATCTTAAATTTCTCCTCCCTTCCCTACTAAATGCCTAGAAAGTAATGATTTAAGATCATTCATTGACTTCACTTCCTATCTCCTACTCACTTCTCATTCCCTTGAATCATGGCTTTGTCTCTTTAACACTCAACTGAAACTTCTCTCTAGAAAGTTGTCGTTAATCTGTTAATTGCTAAAGAAAATTTATTTTTATTAGCCCTCATCCTCCTTAGTAGACTTTGACTCTGATTCTCACCCCTGCATTTGGTGTTTTGTTCTCTTTGTTTTCTTTGTTTTGTTTTTTTGTTGTTGTTTTTTTTTAGGCAATTGGGGTTAAGTGACTTGCCCAGGGTCACACAGCTGGTAAGTGTCAAGTGTTTGGTCTGAGGCGGGATTTGAACTCAGATCCTCCTGACTTCAGGGCCCATGCTCTATCCACTGCGCCACCTAGCTGCCCCTTCTCTTCGTATTCATGACAAAAATTTGACTCTTTTTCTACCTGTCTGATAGATGAACTATCATTTATGTCCTTACCTTTTTCCATAGCTGTTTCTAAGAACTCAGTCCTAGGCCCTTTTCTCTGTAAGCTGGATGATTTCATTGGCCCTTAGAGGTTCAATTATCTTATCTGTAAATGACCAACAAATTATGTATTAAATTCTCTCTCCTGAATTCCTGTTCTCTAACACCTACTAGATATCTTTACAAGTCTGTCAAACTCAACTTGTCCAAAAGAACAGCTCATCTTTCCTTTTGATTCTGCCGATCAAAATTTGTTTTTGTTGGCAGCCATCTTCTGAGTCATTTACTTTCCTGTTTTCACAGTCATCTTCAATTTCTCTCTTCATCATATTACAATCAAATGTCAGATTTTATCAATTTAATTTCATGTATCACATCATTCCCTCATTTTCCTCTTAGTGATCATCCTAGTCTCTTGTCTTCATCATTTTCTGTATAAGCTATTATTCTCTGAATTGATCTCCCATCTTCTATTCTCCTAACTTTAACCAGTCTTCACACACCAGAAAGTATAATCTTTCTATGGTATAGATTAGCTAGGGGTGGGGAACCTGCAGCCTCCAGGCCACATGTGGCCCTCTAGATCCTTCAGTGTGGCCCTTTGACTGAATCCAAACTTCACAGAACAAAGGATTTAACCATATCATTCCCCTGATCAAATGCCTTTAGCGGTTCTCTGTTGTACCCAGAGTAAATGAGGAAGGGCTTAGTATTCACAATCTGGCTTTAAATCTTGCCTCATGTTCCTTCCATCCATGTATTCCACATTCTACTCAAACCAGACTTGCAGATCTTCTGACTTCTCCCAATTCTAAATGTGCCATCTCCTTCTATATGTTTATATAAGCTATCCAACAGTACCCTCACTCTTCTTCTCTACCCCTTAAAATTCTTCTTTTCCTTTAGGTTTCAGTTCAGTTGTCTATTGAACTGAGTGAAGTCTTCACAAATAAATGTTCTCTCTCTTAATATACCTCATATTTACATCTGGGTATGTATAAGGGCAGAGACTTTTATTTTTGTCCTTGTATTCACTGAAACATAATGCCTAATGCATAGTAAGTACTTAACATTTTTTTTCTTGATTGAAGTTAACAGTCATAGTGGAGGAGAAATATGTATCATAAGACAATTCATTTTAGTTATAAGTATTTTTCTATTTTGTTTTAACTAGATACTTAAAGAATTTAAAGATGAAGACTGGAATATGGGAAACATTGTACATACCCTCATAAACAGGCGTTACCTTGAAAAGTGTATTGCATATGCAGAGAGTCATGATCAGGTAAAACAAATATTTGTAATGATATATGTAAATCCATTATTCAACTCTTTTCTGGGTATTTCTTTTAGAAATTTAGCTATAACTGAAATATGTTTACTTAGCATAATTATCTAAATGTGAAAATATAACATTATTTTATTTTTTGTAATTTTTAGAACTTATCTCCTTACATTATTTATATATTCCATTTCCCTACCTGGGAATACCCCCATCCTGGGGTATAGTATGCTTGTTTTGACAAAAGCTATACTGATATATATTCCAATGTTACATGTCGAAACTATTATTAAAACTCTTTTTGTGTGAATTTGACTTAAAAATTTAGTCTCAAAAAGTCCATTTTGATTAATATGGTGATAAAATTAACTAGTATCCTTAATATTCTCATTTATGACATGTCAACATGTGTTCTGATTTCAGTTATCTTTATTTCTGTGTAAAGTGAGCCAGTTTGGACTCAGTGATTTCTAAAGCTCCTTCCATCTCTAAATTACATAATCCTATAAGTAGAAAATTGTTAGAATAAATCAGTTTTGGGAAATTGTTGTATAACTTTCAGTAACTCAGATAAGTGGAACAAGTTCCAGTCATAGAAGATCTGCTCTCAAAATGGCTAGGTGAATGATTATCTAAACCTGGTTATCCTAGTTATCCTTCATCAGCTCAAAAGAGTCCCTCTTTCCTCATGAATAAATTTTAAAAAATTAAATAAAGGAAAAAGAGAAAAAGTAGGGAAAGGATAGAAATTTTCATGAGCAAAACCTCAAAAAAAATGTAGAAATACTGAAGATATGAGTGTACAAAAAAAGAGCTATTAATATAGTGGGTACCGTGGTGTAAAAGAAAGCAAGGACATATCTTCAGATGAAAGGATTAGTACTGCAATACCAACTGGACTATCAAAAATGAGAACTAAACTACTATAGGAACTCATAGAATTATTTAGAAGCTTGCAATGTACAAAGATGAAGTGTTCACATTCTAATAGTGGGAGAAGAAACAGATGTCCCTTAAAAATCTAATGGCAATAGGGGTCATAAAGGGATTTAAATAAGACTAGGGGACCTGGAAATTGTTTTATTAAGTTTTGATTAACTTAAGAGAAGAAAGAAAAAGTAAGGAAAAAAGAACACATTAGAGAATAGAGGAAGAGGAAGGGTATGGAATTTACTATCTTACATTTTCAGGGTATTCAAGAAGACTATATAAACCCTATATATACTTTATATATACATATATGTGTGTATATAAATAAACTAGAGGAAGGGCTGAGGGAGCAGGTTATGACTTGAACCATACTTTCATCTGAGGCAGACAAAGGAGGATAGAATACGTACCTACACGTCACCCACACACACACACACACACACACACACACACACACACACACACACAC